TGCAAAAAGCTTTTATTTCGACGGAGGGTTAATCTGTTTTAAATGAACATTTTGGGGCGCCGCGCCGGCCGGCAGGAAAGCAGGTATGGTCAAACTGAACATTAAATTTTATTACAGAGCTAATCCTACCGGGTCCCTAGAAAAATCTGGAGATATAAAAGTCTGAAAAGTGTTCAAATGTTTTGTACAACTTCCAAGTGCCGTAATATAGGACTAATAAGGACCAAAAAGCTCTAGAAAACGTCTAGAAACCCTAGGAAATCTTTGGTTGTTCGAGAATGCCTTCCCAGACAATGAATATTCTAAAAAAAGGTCTGTAAAGATTTGTAAAGACTCCTGAATGTTCTGTAATAGTTATTTGTACAACTAGTTTTGAAAGTGATACTTTTTTTCATGAATTTGCAGTTTAAGCAAATTCATGGAAAAAAGACACTTTCAACACGTGTTGTACACGAAATTTTTTTGCATAGTGATCCATAATAACCCACAATTGAATAATTTTATTGACATTCGCGATTAACTATCACTCAAAAATGGATGCTATTGTTCGTAGACAGGACTAAACTCCATGGAAACGCATAGTAAAAATCGTGAAAAAAAGTATCACTTTCCATACTAGTACAGGAAAATTGTCCAAAATGGACAAGAAAATTGCGAAGTACTTGAAACTTGGTATAGACGTTTGAAAATACGTATATTTCAAGGAACCGAAGAGTCCCTAACCACAAGAGGTGTGCTGGAGTGGTCATGCTCAAGAACGTAGAGTGAACTGGAGGTTCACTTTTTTAACAGGAAGTGGCAGTGAAATCCTATTAAAAAATACTTTGTGACATTTTTAGCGCATTTTTTAAGAATTAAAAAAAATGTACTACTGTTTGCGTTTTGTCCGTCCATCCGTCCGGCCCACTTTTACCGTTTTGAAGTACGTCTATGGGAATGGTACTAGACTCCTGCAATTTTTTGCAATATGTAGCCTACATCTTGAAGGGTGTGCCAGGCGACTATCAAATGTAGCTGTTTTAATTCCGCGAGATCATCATCTTATTGGTTCTGCGTATACGATAAAAATCCGATCCGGGAAAACTTTACTGTGTGAACGAGCCGTTACGACAGGTGGGCGAGCGGCGCGAGGGTTTTTAAACCTTCATTTTGGGCTGAGCACACTATGTAACGCTAGGGACTCGTCGAATTCTTAAACAGAATATATTTATGTATACTTAAGTATACAAAGTTACAAAGATTTCGCAATTTTCTTGGATATATGACGAATTTGGATACAATTTGACTGTACTATACGATTTTTCTTTAAAAAAAGTCCGATAATTTCATCACTATGTAAAAAAGTATATGAAAGGTGTATTTTTTCCTTCTTAGAGAAAGCGAAAGGCGATAGAAAGCACTGAAAAGTGCATACAACGCCATAACATTTTTTTCTACCCCTATACTTTAATTGATATATTAAACATTTGCTACTTATAGTTAAATGATAGGCATTTTGATACAGATTTTCATTAAGATGCAAGTTTACGACCAATAGAAACGCAAAATCACGGGAACACGATGCATAATTTATGAAAATCAAAGTTGCCATAACAATGATAGATCTTAAATTTATTAGTTTTGACAAGACTGCTAGCCATAGCGAATTGGTGGTTCGTTTTATTATGCATTAGTCATCGACGGTCAAAATCTCAAATGTTGGACTGCTTTTAAAGCCATCGTAGCATCACCTGTTTGTAGATCATCATAGTCGTAGAAAAAATAATGTATGAAACTCGCATTTTAATTTCTATTAAAGACACTCGTATTCATTGCGAAACTCGCCAAGGCTCGTTTCGTAATTCTCATACTCGTGTCTTAATAGCCGTTATTATTCACTCATTGCATAAGATACTATTATTATAGTTGCCCTACAAAAGACCTAAAAGGTATGAAAAGCTCATCGAAAGTAATACTAAGTGTCTAAAGCTCTAGAAATCGTGCTCCGTGAAAGCAATAGAAAGTTTTTGTATGGCCTTTGTTTTAATATTGCTCTGGAAAGCATTTAGAAGGTTTTTGAGGGACCTTATCGATTTCCAAAACATTTATCTTTTCTGTGGATCCTCTAGAGTCTATAAAGCCCTAGAAAGTGCCCAGAATGACCTGAAATGCTCTGAAAAAGCCGTAGTTGGATGTTTTAAGTTTGGTATAAACATTATTATTTTTACTCGTATAATCATATTGATCATTTGGCAAATGGCAATACTGGAAGCAATTTAAGTTTCTTTTTTCACCCTTCACAGCTGTTACATTGATATTACATGGTAAGCGTAAGTAAGCAATACCGGAACTGTCTATTATCTCCACTACTAATGAATCAATGTTTTTCTTCTTTTTTTCGACTTTCTAAGAGATACTGCGGATGGAAACCTTTATTCCTCCAGACTAGGATTTGATCTACGTTGATTAGGCTTATAATGGCTATCTCCGAATTTTTCACAGATAAAGTTTATAAAAAAGTCATATTTATTAGAGGGAAAGGGTGAAATAAAACTGTTACAAAGAAAGTTCCCCTCTTGAAATGAGTTCAATTCACCCTTAAAGTTTTAAGCTTGAACGCTTGTGTCGAGTAGAACGTTTTCCTGGTTGATAACAAAATTCTATAGGAACATGTTCAGAACTATATATTGTTCGTATCTGATACTAACATTTATTTTATCGAAGTTCTTAGTGGAAACAAGCGCCTCTTAAGTTCAAGTAAGAGCTGTAATAAGTAACAGCTTTCTACCAAATTTCGTTCTGTTATCTCGACACATACATTTTTTGCATTACCTACTTCAAAGAACCATACCTATACAGTTCAAGAGATTTTGACCTCACGAAGAAATTGTGCACTTATTAAGAAGATTTCAATGTTGCCAATTAAATTTAATGGACCATTGACCTAAAAGATTAGCAATCCATCCAATTACCAGAATATTGCAAATAAGAGGGATTTAAAATACATATGATACCATTGACTAATACCCTCCCATATTAGTCAATGATACATAAATTAAAATTCCAATTTTTAATGGATGAAAGTTGCGGTTACGGTATAATCATTTTAGTAATAAATTGGTGACTTTTATAAAATTCCATATTTGTGGATCCCATTTCATTTTTAAGACCGTTGTAAACTTTGATCCCTTCCTTCACTTCGCAGCACTTAATGATAACTTCAACGTTTTTATTGCCAGCTATTATGAAATCAAATCCTGTTGTTGAAAAACAATATTCTTAATTAAATATGAATTTTAAGTAAAACAGTTTATGGGTTGTAGACAGATTTAATTAAATTTTTTGATAGCTCGTAGATATGATCACTGTTTATGGTTGGTCCATTAGAGTGTTGTAATTTCTGCTCCTGACAATTGAAAATGCCACAACTACACCGTTTTAAACCAATTCTCTTGCTGAAAGTGTAATTAACTTGATAAACCACATAGTACAGCTGCCGAAATATCATCTCAACCATGTTCGGCGTGTCTCGTGGGTTCGTTAGAGACGATGACCCAGGGTTGAAGGAACCGGTCATACTCTTCTTATTTGCAGAGACCTGGATAATATACCCTAGAATATAACAATTAAGGTATCTACTACGAGGGTCGTTTGATAAGTCTCCTGTTTCGAAATGATACAGCGCCAAAATATATTTTATGTTTCGACGTAGTCTCTTCGAAGCCCAACGCGCTTCAGACCTGACCTCCCATATTGCTGAAATAAAGCGAACTGAGAGCTCTTAGCAACCAACCTACCAAGGCTGCACTGAAGACTTAGACGCAAAAGCGACACCGATCCGATGGTTGCACTCCCAAAGGAGGTAGCTCGAAAAAGGCAAACCCTGGAACCGCAAAGGATACCAAAACCTTTAGCGAAGCAGCTACAGGCTTCAGAATTGATTTTGTCCTGGTGGGAACGCTGTCGGAAGCGGAGACGGGGCGAACCAAAGCCTGGATCCTCGACAGACACGACGGTTTCGCACAAATTTACGGAGTGACGTCACCGAGGTGGAGCGCTGTTGATCACAAGGTCGGAGCTATAGTGTCGGGTGTAGCCCCGTAGAGGGGAGGGCCAGAAACTACGATTCGTCGAAGCGAAAAACCTGCAAAAATCAGTAAGAACGTATGTCTGGATCTCCGGGGCACAGAAAGATCCTGAAAAGTATCGAAATCCAAAAGGCTGGAGCTATAACCAGCAATTGGCGAGTGTAGACAGGAAGGTGGACCCCAAGGCACAAACTTTGACTGTCCTTATGGACCAAACTTCCTGGAAAAAGATGGGGGCCGCTTGCAACCATCGACTCTACGTGAACTTCGTCAAGGTGCCGTTCAAACTCGTCTCCAAGACGAAGAGCGGTATCAAGCATGGAGGGACAAGAGACAAGAGCGATCGAGGGGCCCTCGGGGGAACCACAACCAACTGTGCCAACCACCCCACTTCAGTAGGTAAGCCCGGTTTACTATTTTATTAAACAGCTCTATAAGAAAGGAACAGAAAGTAGAATCGGTTCATTGAAGAAAGGAGACCTCGGAGCTTTTGCTTCAATCACACTTTGCGGAATCAAAGACCCTCGTTGAAAATCACGTGAGCGAACCTATTACTCTGGAACCACGTCTCAGGGGGAACAGAGGAGATTTGGTTTTGGCTCGGCAGATAGTGAACCTAACCAAAGGTAGGTGGTCCATCCGTATAAAACAAAATCCCTAGGGATGGATGGAATATTTCTTACCTCTACTGCAACAAGGTCGCGACCAGTTAGCCTCTACACTAGATACGTTACTTTATATGTGGACGAGGGCCACGAGGCATTCTTCAGGTTACAATTGGTCTTATTTTTCCTTGGAAAAAGTACATCAAAATCGTTCCAATTTTTAATTTGGTATCCCGGTTATTGGCGTTCTTTTGTTTTTCGGAAAATCGTCATAGCTCCCTTATTTTAAACTTTAAAAATAAAAAATTTTCTTTTAGCTCTCTAAAACATTTGTATTTGCAATTGTTTTTTATTTTTTCAAACAACAAAATGGCGATAGATCAAAAATTTCAAAACAAGACTTTTTTGATAACCACCCCATCGACTTTTGGAAGTAGAATATTTACAAAATCCCAAAACGCTACGAAACAGCGCTCTGGGCATTTTTGAACATTACGAAACTGGATATACCAAGGTATTATAATAACAAAAAATATTGATCGAACACTTTTCTTTGAAGAAGCGTCCACTAACAAGTTTTTGTAATCCAAATCAGATTTTAAATGCCTTCGGAAGATCCATTCCAGTTCAAGAATATGGACGACAGGTCATCTGGAACGCATTTTGGGTTGAGGACAAGGTTTGAGTAATCTAACTGATTTTTTTACCGATGACAAATGCTGACACAACATTGTAATAAGGAAATAGGTATGCACTTTTATTTGAATGAATTTGAACAGTAACAACAACTGCAGCGAAATTATGACGTCAACCATGTTTGGCACGACTCATAGCACGTATACATTGCATAGTCGGATAACATGCCGCAAGCTTGAATGCACCGTTCGTATTCTGCCTGTGTGCAGAGACCTGTACAAATAGGAAATAGTTCTAGAACGAACCTCAGATGCTACATACCTTGGCTTACTAAAGCCAAAAGAGTAATGAAGAACATGAAGTACAGAAACATCGCACCGATTCCAACTTTACGGAATTGTTGTTTTATACTGAATTGTTGCTGATGGTACAGCTTATTCGGTCTGCAATTAACATGCGTATTCAGCGATAAATATTTACTTTGACATGCGGAATCCGAAGAAATTATCAATGACCTTTACTTATTTTAATTCATTTTAGATAAGCGTGTGCTATTTTTGAAATCATCGTCTGATTTACTCAAAAACTACGCTTTTACGCCTTATGAACTATTTGTTTGTCTATTACTTTGATACGGTTCAAAGGATATCAGTAACTGGTGAGATAGTTTTAACTGCATTGCATTTATAGTTCTTCAAAATAGCATGCATAACTGAACGAACCGTGTACGAGGTGCGTGGAAAAAGTAATGGACTGATTTGCTATTTACCAAAGTTTGAATTTTTTCCATGCAACTATTTTATCCCCTCAAAGTAGCGCCCTTGACCAGCTATCGTGATCCACAGCGCTGGTTTAACTTGTCGGTCACATTCTTTTAGATAATTTTGGGAGTTACGTTGGATTCAAATCAGGAGAATAAGGGGGTTGGACCACAACAGGAATGCGACAAAGAAAATCATGTGGTATGGATCATCTCAATTGGTATGTCACAAATCATTGATCCTTTCAAAGGTTCCCTTGTAAAGCACATGGTTGACAGTTTGTGCTGGAGGAACATATCCCACATGCATAATCCCCCTACTATCAGAAAAAGCAATTCAGCCTGTTTTCAATATTAGATTTGCTCATTGGACATTTCTTGGGTTCTCGCACAAATCCGTCGCATGTATACCACTGCCCGTTACAACTTTTCTTTTGGGTTCCCCAAGTTTAATATAAAAGTTGATTGTGCAACATTGTAAACTCCGATGATCCGCTTTCATAATACATAAAAAACACTGCTCCACTGATGGCGCTGTAAAAAATACCGTGGTGTTGGAAACAAGTTTAGCACGCGCCGGTCAACACAGTGTTGCCCATTGTCAAAGTAATCTCATTACTTTTCTCATACAGCTCGTATATAACGATATTTTCTTGATTTTTGTGAATGAAGCAGAAACGCGAAATTATTTTTAATCGGTCACGGTTCTACTCAGGCTTTCTTTTTTTAGTTTTTTAAAACTAAAGAATTTTTTAATCTCAACTCGCTCCAGATACTTATTTATTTATTTATTTTGACTTTATTTTTGAGTGGGCGGGGTTTCAGCCAAGGCTGCTCTACCAACCCAACCCAATATACATTTACAAATATCCATGCCCGAACCCGGATTCGAACCAGGGACTCTTAGCACCACAGTCCAGTTTCAACTGAACTGCGCCACACGGGCCTTTGGTGCTTCCAAAAACATGTATAGTAAGTTGAGGTTAAAGTTAGCATAAATAATTTTTGGTAAAAGGAAGAAAATTTGTCACTCTACCTTTTTGATTTGGAATAAAAAATGAAAAAGCAAGAGCATCTACAAAAGTTCGGAACTTGTGTTCCTCTTTAATTTCATTCTCAACGACCATAAAAGCATGAAACTAGCGGCTTTGGGTACGTCCTTTCCGATTTTGCTGTGATGCTTCAAGAACTTCTTCCTCAAACAGGGATGGAAAAGAAAATTCCGATCTCCAAATTTGGAGTCTGTAAAAACATGAAAATCCCGAATTCTTCACCAGACAATAAAAAGGGCACTATCTCGTCTGGATTAAAGGTGGCTACACATGCCCATGCGGCAAAAACCCTCCTAGCGCTGTCAATTCGGTCCTCTTATCTGATATGGTTGCCGAGAAAAATTGTTAGAGAAGGGCTGTACGATGTACTAGGTTTTGTCTTCGTGTAACTCCTGGAATAGTTTAATTAAAATTACAATATATGCAAGTTGTGTTGCATCCGCGGTACAGGATCCACTGGCCGCGGTTGCAGAGACACTGCCAACTGCCGCTGTCGGTGTTGTCGAGACTTGAAATACAAAATGACCCTAAACGCGTCTTATTTTGAATCAAAATTTTGAATACAACGGCATACGTCAGTGAATGTAAAGATAATTAATCGGTGCTCTTTGCCCGCAACGTAGTTAATAAATTGGACAAAAAGTAATATCAACACAGCGAAACATTGTCCTTTTTTATTCCTTGGCATAATCACGATCTCGAGTATTACCTTTGCCACCGATACTTTCGTACTACAAGCACTTGTAACTTTTGTCTGCTACGAATTAAAAATGTGTGGTTATTGTGCAAATATTAAGCTGTTCCTGGAAAACCATTTGAATCATTTGACCTTTGCCGATTATAGGTAGGTCATACATGGTGACCAGGTTTTAAGCAAATATAACCTCTATCATCATCTATTATTATGTAACACACGATCAGGTAATAAATATTGGGGGGGAGAAGACCGACATATTGTTTATTTACAGTGTCTTGTTTTTTCTTTTAGTATTTTTGCCTTCATTTCAGATCTCAGTTTTGACAATCACCGAATATCCTGCTCCGGTGGTCTCCCTGCCCTATGCGCCCTCAGGAGTACACAGGCTGCAACACACTTCTTTCATAATTATTCCCTTCTTCCCTTCGTATTTACAGTTCCGTGTGGAGGATGGGTGTCAAAGACCCTTCCCTTTGCATAGCTTCTCGCAGATGCCACAGGTTGTTTCTACCTTGCATTCGCTGGCTTTGTGCCCCACTCCACAACAATTAAAACATAGTACCGACCTGTCGGTTTGTAATTAAAAAATTAAGTTAGCGCACTATACAGCCTCCAGTTCTTAAGAAAAGGCCTATCAGGCAGGATAGCATTAAGGGGTTACATTTTCAAGTCTCTTTATAATTAGTAAAATTTCACTAAAAAACTTAAAAATAACCCTATTTTTACAAACCGCTCTCATATACACTCCCCATTTGTAAATTAGACTAGCGCCTCTAGTGCCAATCTAAATCGCGAATAAAATGCATAAATTGTGAAGGCCAATTTTGTTTGCAAATAATTGATTCATCCATTATATTTTTTAAACTTGCCCTGAAGAGTAAATCATACAAGTTGGCGGAAATCCACCACATGAAAGACCTAACATGTATCCAATAATCGTGTAATGAAGGTGTGTCATAAAGGTATCATAATTAAATACCATGTTGCGGGCAAAGTCATAAATTAATCGATCCGCTCCATATACGGACTGGTCATAAAGAAAAACTTTAATTACCCAAATAATAAATATTAAAATAACTTGCAGTAATTTCAAGAAGTACAAGTATAGATCTTAGCAGGCGATAACAACTTGAGTGCAATAAATTTTACGTTGTTATGATTATTTTCAACATCTTCCACAATTATTTTTGCAATTGCAGGTGTAAACTAACCATTACTAAGATTCTGACTGGCAATTTCATTGCATTCTGTTGATATTACCCGTTCGTGCTTGGATTCAATCTGTTATTAAACGGCCCGAGGCGTTCTTCAATTTTCATCGAGCAATTATTTGCGTTACCTCAATGTTTTGTCGATATACCTGTTAATTAGCGAGAGACAATTAAAACGCGATAACCAGAAGCCGAAGCCGAAAGTGGCATGTTTCATACGGCGCAATAAATAACAGGGATGGCTCTCCAAAGGATATAAAGTAAACCGATCGCGATGTTAGAGTATCTCCTTTATTTATTACTGAATTGCAATGATCGAGTCACCAATTAATTTGTCCATCGTGAATAGTAATTGTGTATTTCCTACTCTTTCAATTTTATTACCGTACGATCCGCAGAAATACATACGTATATATAAGTACAAAACCTGCTATGATTAATCAGAACAAGTGGTATGCGGAGATGCGCCAAGGATATCGAGCTTCAGGTAGGTCATAAAATTTTCACTGAAAACGCATATAATAGACGTAGAGTGTTGTGTGTAGGTTACTGAACTTTATAGGGTATTATAAAGGAGTAGAACCTTAAATTGTTTTAATTTTTTACTTAATTATGGGTTTCGACCGCAACTTCCCTTGATGGTGCAATTAAGTAATATATAAAAAGTGGTTTTATTATATTCAGTGTTTTATTATGTTATATTTTTTACAAGACAGAACGCATTCGAACCAGGAGATCTAATCGTGACATTAAGTAGATCTAACTCATCTTTTAATTATTCTTTGTGGTCTTGATTGCGTATAAGAACTTGAACACAGACATTTTTCATACCATACCTATTCACAGCCACACATTCACTACTCCGATGAAAATGGTATCTTCTTATGTGACCTTTTTTAGGGGCGCCTTTACCACACAGACTTCTTACTAGTTTAATTAGTAAATCAGAACCAATTATACGGCAATTGGCACGTACGAGTATGTTCGGAAAAGGGAATGAAACCGACAGATTGATGAGGGGATGAAGAGCATTAATAATAATTCAATAAGTAGAGATTCGTGATGGAACACTTTAATCATATAGTGGTAGAATGAAGACGAGTTTAAAGTAGGTAAAGGAAGTAGAATAGCTTGTGTCGAATTTTCGAAAACAATGGGCATAAAGGACAAAAGAAGAAATAGGAATTAGGAGGAATGAGATCCCTTCATGGATATAAGATGAGAGGTATCGTCTTCTAGGTAAGGTAATATGCGGGGTGTTTCTAAATATGATGTAAATACGGAAGGGGCTAATTCTTTGGCTTATTTTATGACTAAAGATTCATATGAACTTGGGGTGTTTTTCTTTTTTCTGAAATATAAGTTACGCTGAAGGGCTTATATCATTGATCATGTGAATGGGAATAAGAACATACAGGGTGTTGTTTTCTTAGGGGTCATGTTTCTTTTTCAACCCCCTGAACTTTTTTTCGGTGCGCCACTGGTAGATTGTGAAACAAGAATGTAATTTTCTCATTTGTTTAGAAACTTTCTGGTCTCTTGTAATTTTGTTGTATCCTGTGACAGCTATCGAGAAAAAAATATAAAAGTCCATTTTTGATAGATTAAAATGGTTTAAGGCTATGGTCAGAGACAAAAAAATGGCCGTTATAAGACTTCAGTACCTGCTCAAAGACGAGCTTAACAAGTTCAGGAAGTCAAAATGGGATGCCAGAATATATAGCCTAAACGCAGAACCGCAGTCTTACTGGAAAATGACAAAGCACACTAATCGCAGAACCTAAAAGACCGATTCA